ATAGTTCAGCCACTAGAGACTTTTTGTTCTTTCTCTGCCCTATATTACACACAGAGGTAGTGAAGACTGGGTGCAGGCAGAGTCAAATCCGTCCTGATAGTACTGCCGGTTAGCATGGGCTATAAAATTTGTCTTCACTGTTTCTGCAACAGCAGCATGCACCATCAAGGAGGGTTTTCAGACTCCCCCCCTGCAGCCTGAGCCCGGACAACATATGAGTCAAGTCCAAACTGCCACAGTCTGTGATCTAAAATGTGCGAGGGTGAAACACTTAGCTTAGCAGTTCCAAAGTTTGCAGGGACAAGGAGACAACAAGGGAGAGGGGGGAAAAAGAGGAAGCGTGGGAGAGATGTGCAGAATGATTCAGTAACACGCGGTAAGCATCCCAGGCAGGCCTGGCGCTCGGAGAGCTGATGGGGGCAGGGGAGGGTGGTTATAGCTTGGGAGAGCGCTGCGATAAATGAAATGCTGTGACACGGCATGTTTTCTGTGGGTTGTAAGTAATCGTGGCTGCAACTGGGCTGGATCCATCGGGGCTGAACATAGACGAGCTTTTCTCAGCCTCCTGCAGAATCGCACCCATTTTATTAGATTTAACTCGTGTTTTTAAATCATCACACAAATTAAAGTTGGCTACACAAGCCTACTATGAAGCACTATAGCTACAGTCTTCTTGGTTTCTTGTTGTAATTTTGCACAACTCTGTTAATGAACTTCTCAAATGCAGCACATTCATTTTTGGTGGCTTCTCATGTGTCCGGTACCTCCAGTCCTTCATGATATGCTCATGGTCACGCAGAAGGCGACTTCTTTCAGAACACAAAATTCTATTCAATGAGAAAAAAGAATGCTCAACTGTAGCTGTTGTGACTGGGACTAGAAAGAGATGAATTCCTACTTCTTTCATCCCAGGAAGCATAGCACAAAAATTGGGTCGAACCTCTAGTGATGATAAAGAAGAAGTTGAAGTTAAATCTTCATTTGTTCATAGTATGATATTCCACTCTGTGTTCTAATTCTCTGTTCTGTCCTGATCGCAAGGCTGCTCCATTGCAGGTAGTGCCTCACTTGCTTTATAAGACAGGCATCTGTAAAAGCAATGTAGAGGTTGATAGAATCCAGAAGTTGGTGGTGTAGAGATGTAAGAATCAAGTCCGTGTACTTTACTTTTTCAGCTGGCTTAACAAACACTTTTTGTCCTCTTAATTTAAGGAGTCAATATAAGTGCCCTAATTAGTCAACTTGTGGACTGAAGTCTTTGCTTCTTCCAGTATGTTTTCCATTGATATCTCTCTGATTGATCCAAGTGTAGCTTCTATTGCTGGACAAAGATCTACTACTGTTGTAGCAGATGCCTGGATGGCATTGTTTAATGACCCAAGTGGTTTCAAAGGTAGACTTACAAGAGAGAATGGCGATAGTCTTTTCTGAACTTAGTAACAAAAGTAGTCCAGTAGCCTCACTACTTAGATCCATCCCATCTCAGTAGATACTTTCCAAAGCCAGTAATAATGGTTGCAGTAATTTTAAGACAACAGCCAAGGATCGCTCATGAGAAAGCCGGTGGGTTTTCCCAGGTTGGAATAATTTGAACTTCAGTCCCAGAGTATCTTCAATTTGTTTTCAAGACGTTCAGTCCTTTTGGACTCTTGCTGGAAAAAAAAAAGAAGAGTATAATGAAGACATTAAATTTATAGCTTTTTAAATGCCTTTTGGAGATTCTGCAGCTTGTTCTAGTGCTAGTTGGAGTAGATGGCATCTGCAGTGTGTACAAGAGAGTTTAGAGGTACACTTTTCTCTGAGCAAAGATTGTACTTCACTATGTCTCCCAGAGAAGTTTGCAGTGCCATCAAATGCACAAGCAGCCATCTCTTTGGGGTTCAATTTACAAGCATTTAATTCTTCTATGATGCAGTCGATGTGTCTTCTATAAACTGAACATCTAGAAATGCATCTACGGGCCTACCACTGACATCAAGGTAATGTATGCAGTGACTTAATACTTGACACCTATTTTCATTGGTGCATTCATCAGCCATGTATGCACATTTTCTGAATGTGGTGAGAGAGTTCTTCACTTTTTCAACTGCTGAGTTCACTGTTGCACTGCATGCTTCTAACCAGTCAGTTGAGTTTCTTGCAGAAAGACAGTGAGCATTTGCTGGTCTTAGTCGGAACCAGTGTCCAACTTCAGGATTAACAAATGACAATGCACTTAACATTGGCCTCCAGTTTGTAGTGGTATCTCTTGCTTAAAGAGAAAGTATGATGTGACAGCCATGTTTGTTTGAATAAACTGTGTCTCCAGCATTTTTAACAGCCTCGTTTAGTACTTCTAAAATTGGCTTTGACAATGACTGGCTCATAAGGCTTTCTGCATGTCGATGCAGTCCAGAGGATTGGTGTTTTGCAGCCTTTTCACATAGTTTGTCAGCATTGGCTTTGCAGATCAGTCTGGCAAACCAAGCTCCTCCACTTTTATTATATAAATCCATAGTATGCTCACATCTTGAATACTGCATGCAGTTCTGATTGCCTCATCTCAAAAAAGATATATTGGAATTGGAAAAGGTACAGAGAAGGGAAACTAAAATGGTTAAGGGTATGGAACAGTTTCCATATGAGGAGAGATTAAAAAGACTGGGACTTTTCAGCTTGGAAAAGAGAGGACTAAGATAGGATATGACTTGACTGGTGTGGAGAAAGTAAATAATAGGCAGCAGGTTTAAAACAAACAAAAGGAAGTACTTCTTCACACAACACACAGTCAATCTGTGGATCTTTTTGCCAGAGGACGTTGTGAAGGCCAAACCTATAACACAGTTCAAAAAAGAACTAGAAAAATTCATGGAGGATAGGTCCATCAGTGGTTATTAGCCAGGACGGGCAGAGATGCAACACCATGCTCTGAGAGCCTCTGCTTTCCAGAAGCTGGGAGTGGACGACAGAGGATGGATCACTCAATAATTGTCCTGTTCTGTTAATTCCCTTTGAAGCACCTGGCACTGGCCCCTGTCGGAAGACAGGGTACGGGGCTAGATGGACCATTGGTCTGACCCAATATGTCCATTCTTATGTTCATATGTAAAAATTAATTATAATATAATAAAAATGTTTAGTACAGAAACTCCCCAAGACAACGACCTCTCAAGATAGCAACAATGTGAGATAATGACCTTGGTAAATAATGCATTTAAAAAAAATATCTTGGCCTGCTAGGAAATGTATATTTATATAAGTTTCTTAGTCACAAATCTAGCATTCTGGAGCAAAGTCACTAAAACGTAGTCCAACAAACAAATGTTCTTTTAACATGCTTCTCCCTCTACTGCACCCCACTCGTAGTTGTTGTCCTTGGCCAGTGAAGACCCAGAGTTCAGAGGTGCTTTCGCATGAGTTCACCTCCCACCCTGGGAGGGTGTGGGGGAGAAGGTACCTTACTTGTTTCTCTAGCTGCTCACCACTCACTCTGGCCACTGTTGTTTGTCATGCACCGTTCATTCCACCACTCCATTGCCAATGGCCGTGTGCCATCACCTTCTGCTGCCACCTGCCACTGTGACCTCTGCAAGTTGGTCTCTTGAGGTTCCACCCAGCTCTCGGTGATTTCAGCGCTCAGTGGGGGAACCTCACAGCAAGTGCAGGCTGGGCTGTCTTTTCCACAGAAAAGCTGTCCTGCAGCAGGTCTAAGCACTTAGACCTGATTATTAGTGATTTCAGCTCTAGTGACCCCATAACAAAACAAAAAAGACTATGGAGCCTAATAAATAGGGGAGAGGGGCAATCAAATAATGCCCGTGATTCTTAGGCAAAGCCCACACCACCAAGCAAAACCCCTGTCCCATCCCCTCCTCCACTGGGATCTGCCATCCAAACCCTTTGCTTAGCGAGTGAAGTTCAGTTGAGGGTGACCAGTGCTTAATTTGTAATTAAGAGGTGCCAGGGCTCAAGAAAGTTTTTTACTTTCATAACTGATGTGGCAAGCCCGGGGCTATGAACTGCCAAGCCCTGGCAAAAATTAAGCATCGAAGGTAGGGTGACCAGATGTCCCGATTTTATAGGGACAGTCCTGGTTTTGGGGTCTTTTTCTTACATAGGCACTTATTACCTCCCACCTCCTGTCCCGATTTTTCACATTTGCTGTCTGGTCACCCTAATTGAGGGTGACCCCCTCATTCAGGCAGTCTAAGCACAGTTCTGCTGCCTTTTACTCAGATGATAAGAATAACAACATTTCATGACCCCCACATTCAATACTAAAGTGATTTGTAACCCAGCACCAGCCAAAACTGATCACTTGGGCAACACAGTTCTGTCTGCCGGATACCTAGGCAGAGTAGGTGAGTTCATGTAAATACCGTCTGGTCCTGAAGCCTTCTCCCCTCCCCGGGCTCATCACTAGCTGGCAGGGGAGAGCTCATTCACACCTTGCTTACCAATCATAATTATAAATTATTAGGTTGGCCAAGATTGCTGAAACAAATGTGCCGACATTGTCAGAAAAAACAACAGCTGTGTGAAGACGCTAATCTGTGTTCATACTTTTCAAACCTATTATACTTTTCCAGGTACAAGTATTTTATCATACACTGTAATTGCTTTTAAAGTGTGTATTAGTGTTGCAATTTCAATTCAAATTTCCAACCAATGACTACACTGGCAACACTGATGTAACTAGTTGACCACTGGGGTAGGAGGGAGGGTGTTGGGGAAATTCGGGGGGGGGTTACACCCCCACTGGGAGGGGTGTAGAAAAATCCCTGATTGGTCCCCATCACCCAGCTCAGGTTCCTTGGAGGAGGAGTGGGGAGGCGTCTGGAGGGGTGGGTGCTCGCTGCACAGCTGGGAAGCCGGGAAGGGGCCCCGCTTGCAGACGCCCCTGGCGGCTCCTTGGTGCTTTTCCTGCCCTTGCTCGCCCCTTTGCTGGGCTTGATTTTTTTTTAAACTGGAGGAGGAAAAGGCGGCAGCTGCGCTTCGCATGCGGCTCCTAACCGCAGGGAGCCCGGCGGCAGCGGCTGTGCGCGGGTGGAGGGAGGAGGATGCGCCCAGCCCCTGAGTCAGCGCCCAGAGTCAGACTGGCAGCTGCAGAGCGCGGGCGCCCGGGCCGCGTGCGCCAGGGCGCCTCCTAGGGCAGCTGGAGGGAGCGCACGGGGGGCGCATCATCCTGGCAGCCCGAGGCGGAGGGCTCAGAGCTAACGTACCTCGGGCGCTTCCCTGGGATGGCCGGGCACAGGGAGAGCGCCCCGCCGGAGGTCTCCTAGGAGCAGCGGGGAGCGCCCACGCGGGGCGCCTCCTAGGGGTGTCCCAGCGAAGGGAGGGCGCTCACCGCAGGCCCGTCTCATTTGGCTGGGGAAGTGCAAGGAAGCGCCCGGCCCTCGCCGCGGGACCAGAGGGCGCGCAACTGGAGGCGCCTCCTGGGGCGCAGGGAGCTGCCGTCGCGGGCACCTCCTCCTGCTCCTGGCCGGCTGGAGCTGGGCAGCCGCCCCCGAGATGTTCACCCGGGCTGTGAGCAGGCTCAGCAGGAAGCGGCCGCCGTCAGGTAAGGAGAGCTTTGCGCGGAGGGCTCGGGCGAGCCGGGGTCCGGAGCGGGACCGCGTGCTGGGGGCACCTTCATGCCGGCGCCAGGCTCAGAGCGGTCGGGGTGCGTCAGAGCGAGCTAACCCCGGGACCTGAACCAGCACCCCCAGAATCAGCCCCAGCCTTCTGCCGCCGGGGCCAGACTGGAGGTGAAGCTCCCCCGGCACCTTTGTCTCAGTCCAGATTATAGGATTTGCCCTCTGATGGTTTTTTAAACCAATGATTAACCCAAAGCAGGAGCCAGAGGTGCTGGTGCCTCTCTCTCCAGACTCTTCTAGTTTGCAGGCGCCTTTGCTTTCGGCCCAGGAAGCTTTGGCTTTGTGTTGAGAAGACACAACCACTTCTCGCTTGCGGCCGCAAGCTGCTTCAAGACGAAGAGGAAGTTTAGCTGAAAGAGGAAGGATGGAGTTTTCTTTTTAGAGTGTCTGAAAAATAAAGCACGCTGAAGTGGAATCCGGAGCCCAGCTTCCAGATGTGCTTTGGTTTGCTAACTGTCTTTTTTTTTTCCTCTCTGCACATGAGTCATAGCTGCTGTGTGACAGAGGGAAGGCTACATTATAAGAAACTGTAACAAACACCAGTGAAAGTAACAGTGCCAAATGACATTAGGTTCAAATAGGGCCTGAGTTTCAGAAGTGCTGAACCTCCACAGCTCCACTGAGTTTAACTGGAGTTGTGGGTGCTCAGCACCTCTACAAATCAAGTAGATAACGTCTCATTCAGGTGCTTTAACTAGCTGGATGATACAGATGAATAGAAAGAAGGTATGAATGTATGGTTTCATTGTATCAACCTGAATGTTTACTGCCTTTCCTCTGAGTTATGCATGAACAATGACAGCTTTTTATGAGGTTTAGTATGACTGTAAAAGTCCACTATAATTTCTCAAAGTATGCAATTGTGCAGTTCTAAAATAGCAAATACATAGCTTTAGCTATCTATTTCTCATGTAATGGACTTGGTAATACTTATAAAGTGAATCAAAATATGCAGTGGCCAAAAGCAGTGGTGGCAAGTTTCATATCTGAAACATGTCAGTGTAACTGGATTTTTACAATATTCAATATAATGATGTTAATTAGACTTAAACTAACTGAGTACAGGGCATTATTGATGATTCATATGGCTGTGGACCTGTCCATGGGAGGGGGGCATACATACTTCTGACATTTGTGGTTGCCCTCACTGATGCAGATGGACACAGCCCATGTAGCTTTTTCTGTTTTATGCACCTTTTAATGCTTTGTTTGCTTCTGGGGCTATAATATAAAACTGATAGGTTATGTTTTAAGCACAAGATTCAGAAACTATAATTTAGGTGTAGCATAGTCTTTTCCATTGTAGAGGCTCTACAGGAGGGAGTTGGATTCTGTTGTAGCTCATACATCAACCAAAATTTTAATTAAATTCAGATTAGATAATCTGTGTTACTGGTGGTGACGTCCTAACCAGAAAGAACCTAGTTTGACTTTCAGATCCCAAGTTGACTTTGGAGAGCTGTCATCTAGAAAGACCAACTTCTTACATTTGATATGGAAGTCAGTGACATGGAACCCCAGAATGTCATTTTTACAGACACACTTTCAGAATATTACAGCACTTTAATACAGAACATTTTACAACTGAATTTCACTGACCCAGCAGGTTCAGTGGCTCAAGGAAACTAACATAACCTATGTTATTCTCTGTGAAATAATTTGGATAAAAATAACAAACTAAGGATCCTCGGTAGCAGCATTACTTCTGGAATGTACAATAAGATTACGAACTTGCAAGTTCCTCATTAAAGTCTTCCAAAGAAAAATTGAGTGTGGCTTTTAGTCTAGGTTTTTTTTTTTTTAAGTTATGTGCTTGGTGAATGCTTCCAGAGATGCTACAAATGCAGAACATACTTTTAATTTCCTTCCGTATAGTTAAAACTAGAATCCTGTTGCCATCTGTTGTCGGAGACACTCAAAAGAGGATGTTAAGGCTTATACTTTGAACAAACCAAAACGGCAAAGGACAACTCTTTGTAGCCCATAGGTCCTTTAAAATACAGCAGCTACTAGAAAAAGTTGATCTCTTGGACTCATCAAGTGGCACTTGGATACATGGAAAGTAAGGGGATTTTCCCTTGTTAAGTAGAACAGTTAAGAACAATTTCTCATTGTTTCATAAACTTGGTTTATTAATTCAGGACTGTTGCTTGTGAGTGGAATGACATTCTGATGATCACAGAGAAATGCAATGGGCTAAGTGCACTTTTAAAAATAAAAAGCCCATCTGTCAGTATTCACAGCTTTCCAAAGGACCCAGGCCTGATTCTGTGTGAAGAAGGGTCAAATGCATGTGGTACAATCAAAGTTCTCTCAAGATAAGTTTATAGGAGAATGGGAAGAATTTTGTTAACTGTTCTGTGAATTGATGCTATTTGTTTAAATTACTGGGAACAAAGGAAAAAATGCTATTTATAAGGTGCTATATGGGTACATACTTGGCTGATTAGCTGGTCATGTCTGCTGTCTTTTGTTAATAACTTTGCAGAAAACATATATGGAAAAGAATAAGCAAAGAACAGGCATTAAATGGCTGATGTAACAAAGTTTTGTAAGATGCATGAATTTTTGCTGTGTGATATGTTGCCGCTAGTCACAGTTTATTAAAGATTTGTTATATGTTTGTAGTTGCAACACTTCAGAATTATGGGTAGGGTTTTCCAAAGTGCCTATCTAACAGGTGCTCAAGTTTCCACTGAAATTCAAAACGGACTTGTGCTGCTAAATCACTTAGGAGTGTGTGAACATCTCACCTCAGGTACTGAATCATCTTATTATTTGAAACAGTAAGCCTGTAATGCTAATGTTTGGTGGTTTCTTCTTTTTTTAACACTATCCTTTCAAAGCAAGGTCCAGAGCCCGGAGTTCTGATTTGCTAATTAATGTTAGCATGGAACTTCTTGTTTGTATAATACAAATATTTGCTGTTTCAGATACTGATAGTGTCAAGTGTGGTAGTTAGAACATTTTAAAAAATTACATTTGCCTTTTCATTTATCACTTATAAAAATATTTATTTACAAGGTGTTTTTGCGTCTTGTGTAATAGTATTTTGTGATGGTCAAAAACAGATAATATAGGATTGTTCCCTAAAATAATGCTGCAACTAGTGTAACTGCCAAACATTAGCTTTGTTTGTACAAGCAGCTGGCCACTGCACATAATATAAGAAAATGCACTGTGATCCTGTAGTCAGTGGAAGTTTTGTTGAGGTAAAGACTGTATGGTGGGGTCCCGTGTACAACTATGTTGTGAATGTTTATAATAGTATTTTCTCCACTTATTGGTTTCCTTGTCTGTTGAAAAGATAAGTGAGTTTTTTTCCACCAAAACAAGAAAGATCAGAGTTATTTTACATCTTTATCTACTACTGTACATTTTTATCTTCTACAAAAGTTCAAATAGAAAAGTTCCCTTTTTCTGTAGTTCCTTTGCATTCTTCTTACTGGTGCACATAACTATCTGCTGTTTAAAAAATAAGTGAATTACTCTATCATTTGGATATTAGGTATTGGTGGCACTGGCAAGCATGCAGTTCGTATGTAAACTACAGGTCAGCATAATTGCAGGGCTTCTGATGGAATAAGATGATCTTATTAATGACAAGAAGAGGGATAACTAAGGATCAGAGAGCATATTTCATATACTAAAATATATTTCACCGTTACATTCTAAAAATAAATTAGTTGTGAAGAATTGTATATAAATTCCATTACAAGTGTGATTTTTTTCAAGACCGTTCAGTAGAACTTTAATAGATAGAAATGTAGAGATTAGTTCCTTGAGTAAGGTCCAGGCAAACCTTTTGCCTATTTTAAGACATAAAGAAGTATTCTCTGTATGATACACATGAACCTGTTGATCAGACGGATTTAAGCAATTGTGCATAGAGTGGAGAGCTATGATCCTATTGGGGACAATTCTTATACTAGAAATATGTATGTGAGTGCTCAGTAACTGAGATGAGGGGTTCCTTAGAACTGTATATAGTGAAATACAGAACTACAACGATTCTAATATTATCAGAAGTATTTGGGGCCTGTTTCCCCACGGCCTTGTACCTTGAGTAAATGTTTACACTTGTGTAGAAGGGGAAAGGGCCTATTATTTATTATGTGTATTATGGAAGTGACCATCTGAAAATGGGGCCCCATTATGCTAAACTCTGTGCACCACAGTATTGGATCGTTCCTGCACCGAAGAGCTTCTGTGAAAATAGGCAGGAAGGACAAAGGGAAGGGGGAAAGGGAAGTAACATGCAAGCAGAGTGAACAGTGGTGGTCTGCAAACATCATGTTAGTGCCACAGTATTTTTGTGAGGGGTGGGGGGAATGGAGGAGTGGGTATATCTCATTTACATTTTTAAAATTCTTTGGGTATGGTTTAAGGAGGAGGAGAATAACTAAATGAAAAGACAAGAGAAGGGAGAGGGGACATTGAAGGGTAGGGCAGGGGAAAAGGAGGAGGGTAGAAAGCAGGGGAACTTAGAGGGTAAGTAGAGTAAGGCTGAAATGAAGAGACTGTGAAGGAGGGGATTGGAGTGAATGGCCAGTGAGCACAGGGGAGAGAAATTGTAGAAAGCAGTCTGAGGACATTGTCTGTGCCTGCTGCGGTTGCTCTTTCTGGCTAGAGAATTTCTCTGGCCCAGGCGGGCTGGGTCCTCCCTTGAATTTCTTTTTGCCCACACCCTCGAGGCTTGTTGGGGAAGGTGGCTGCTGCATCGGACCGTAGCCCCACCACTCCATTCCCACTTGGGGGAAGTTAGCATTGCCAGTGTCACCAGACTGGTGTGATCCTTGTGCCCTGTCCTTTCAGAGAGGCATCAGGTGGGGAGGAAGATCTTTGCCCTTCCTCATCCCCAAGGCAGGCCACAATGTGGTCTGTCATCTAGTGTTCTAGAGATATCATGGAAAAACAGAAGCACAGGTCTATCTTGGGATTCTAAAGTCAGTCTGCTTCAGAGTCCTCTTAGAAGTGAATATCCATATTGCCACTCATCTCTCAAGTTATATGCTTCTGCCATGCTTTTTAAAAAACAATGGATGAATAACCATTACAGTCCATTTTGCTTGGTAGAGCAAAAGAAGACTAGACATAAAATCCAACTCCCGTAAAGAGTATATCTAATAGGTCTGGTTCATCACTGCTCTGCCCATTGTGTAGTTATTTACACTTGTGGGTGGGAAACACTGCCATTCTGATTTGGTCACTGTGTACAGACAGTGGATATTTGCAGAACATGAGAATCTGACTCTATACAAGTAACAATATTTTGTACATTCTACCCCAGGATCCCGACATGCCTTGTAGACATTAATTAAACCTCACAACTCCCTTTTGAGGAGGGAAGTATTATTATTTCCATTTCCCAGAAGGGGAAACTGAGGCATGGAGAAGTTAAAGTGCCTTGTTCAAGTTCACACATCAAGTCAGTGGCAGCTGCCAGGAAACAATCTAAATGTTCTGATTCCCAGTCCTGTGCTTTCACCACTAGACCACAGTTCATCTCAGGGGAAACCTTTTTTTCTTTTTATTTATATGTACAACATCATAGATGTTCCTGGTGCTTTACAGACAAATAAGTTACAGTCCTGGTCTGAAGAGGTTACAAGGTCCAGATCCTTCTTATGCATGGACTTCTGCATCTCTATGAAAGAAATGCAGGATTGGGGGCTTACTTAGAGATGACAAAAAGAGAGATCACAACCGGTGAAGGAGGGACATGCTAATGACATGGCTTGTATATTATAGTATACTCTTAGTATGTGTGCCACTTGCTTCGTTAATTTAAAATATCCTCCTTTTATTCTCTTTAAATTTGATTGATTTGGTGCATGAGGGTGGGTCTCTCCTCCTTACGCAGCAATACGTGAATGGACTCTGTGCAACTTTAGATGCCTTGACCCTCTTGCAGAGTTTTATTCCCCATGGAAAGGGAAACTCCTATGAAAGATGTCCATCTGACTGTTATCAGAGAGAACTCGTCAAAAGACCTCAAAAAAGCCTCCCACAACCAAAAGCCACTTAGCATAATAGGCTTTTCTGGAATGCCAGTTTTCCATAGGTTTTCAGTCTTGGCATTTATCATTCTAGCTATCTGCTGATGTTTGACTCTCTACTCTGTATACATCTTGCTTTTTCATTTTCTTCTTCTTCTTTTCTTTTTGGACAACTGCTATAATAGTTTTAGCTCCACACTTGAGGAGGAGCCCTAACCTGGGTCCAAATATGTATTGAGAAGATCCATATTTTTGAACAGTGGCTTTGTTAAGGTGAAATGAAGGACTTATAAAAATAAACATGCCAATAAATAGAAATGAGATACCAAACTGTTAATAGAATAGGGGTCTGATCCTGTTCAAATGCCTTACATGAATAGTCCCATTGACTTCAATGGACTACTCTGGTGAGAAAAGTGAGCAGGATTGGTCGCTACTTGCATAGCTTTCAATTACAAATGCCCTTTTGTATTTATTATTAATAAGGTGACCTAAGTAAGAGCGTTATTGATTACAGTGGGGTTTTGAGTGTGCAAGGAATGTGTAATTAGACTCCCAGTCTTATAATGTCTAGCAATCTTGGATAGGGTTTTAGACCTGACCCTGAATGGCCAAGACTCCCACTGTCTTTATTGGAAGTTTTGGGCATGCAGCGAATGGAAGATCACACTGTGTGTGTGTTTATTTTAAAGCTTTTCAATTCAGCAGTAAAATACTTGGAGCCCTTCCAAGAAGAAGGACTGCAGAATGGTAGCCAGTGAAGAATCTGTTTCTATCTGGCTTCAGCAGCCTACGGTTTAATAAACTAACTCTTGTTAGTCAGTCAGATGTAGATTCAGCAGTTAGACCATCTCTTCCTTCTCCTCAGACTTCGGAACATTTGTGAGAATGCTGGCTGGTGTATTAGTCAGATACAACCCTGCACTCTTTATTCAGGCAAAACTCCAGTTGACTTAAGAAAATCAAAAGTAAACTGCCCAACAGTATGTGTACTCCAAGACTGCACGAGACCATTCCACTACCTGTCTAGCTGCCCTTCCAGTAACATGGTTTGATTTGTAGGCCTCATCTCCTCCTAAACAAAGCATCGCTTTTCTTTCTCCATCTGGGGCCCCCACTCTGTCCTCAGAGTGTTAATTTCTAAAAGAAATCTCATCTAGGCAGCTTACCAAGATTTGTCTCATAACTTCGGTGTGGGTGATCTAAAGCAGCCAATAGCACCGACAGTGCCAGAAACAAGCTCGCAGCCCTTTTACAGCTGATGCTCTGGTAGTAATGTTCCATGTCCATAAGGCAAATTAACTCAGATAAGACAGTGACATTATCCGCTCTTGAGTTCCCTGACTATAAAGCAGCTTTTACATTTCTTAGGCTTTCCCTTCACTGCAGGGTTAGCTTGAGGTTTTACCCCCAACCCCAACCCCAACCTCTATCCGCACACAACAATTTCTATTCTAGCTCATTAACTGGGCTGTCAGGGTGGGTTGAAGCTTGAGTGCTGCTGATGCTTGAACTTGTAATGCTGTGGGGATGCAGCAGCAGGAGTTACAAGAGCGCATCAGCTGCTAATCAAATTGCTCTTTGTAGCCTGAGTGGTGTTTTGCAGTGTGGTCGCTCCACTTGAACAAGGTTAGTTCGAGTGGAGTAACTGGTTTGAGCATTGGTCTGCTAAACCCAGGGTTGTGAGTTTAATCCTTGAGGGGACTATTTAGGGATCTTGGGGCAAAAATCTGTCTGGGGGTTGGACTAGATGTCCTCCTGAGGTCCCTTCCAACCCTGATATTCTATGAGTGTACTAACTCTGAGCAAACTGTAGCAGCGAAGACAAGCTCTTAGAGACGATGCAGAATGGAAAAATACATGTTTCTTTTCAGTGCGATCACATCTCCTTTTAAGAAAGCAGCTATGACTTGAAGGTGTTGAGGAGGGTAGTGATGGGATCAGAGAAATGCATGTGAGACTATTCATTATTTTAAAGCTGGTGTATTTATTTTTCAGAGATAAATGACAGTGATGGCAAACCAGGCAGCAGCCAACAAACCCTAAAAGGAACCTCAAGATGGACTACGTCACTAGAGAACCTCCTAGAAGATCCAGAAGGAGTGAAACGATTTAGGGTTGCTATCTTAACTATTAATGTTTGCATAGACTTTAAACAGCATTTGAAGCTTAATATGTATCCGCATTAAATAATGGTGGTGTACCAATGGCATAAGGGTATACATTTGTATATAACTAGATGTGTGAATTAAGCATTGGTGACAGAACAGTTGAGTTGGGGCATTTGCTATGCGTCTCAGATGGTATCCTCTGCCAACAGCCTATCCTTGGGTACAGGGGAAAAGCTTGGTTGCACCTTTCTAACCAGAGAACAGATGACAGGCAATGTCATGGGTACGACAGGAGTAAGGGTTAGAAAGCCACAGTGGGCTAAATAATGGAGCAGAAGGAAACTTGGTCTTTTCTGAAATATTACTGTCTCCTGTCATGTAATATCCACTACTGGGGCCTGATCCTGTAACCCTTATCCATATAAATTATTCCAATGACTGCAACTGAGCAAGAGTAACGGCCCGATCCTGCATTGTGACCCAGGCAGGTGAACTGAGCAGAGCTCCTTTAATTTCAGTGGGGCTCCATGTGGGAGCAGCAGTCTGCCCACACAGATCACAATGCAGGATTGTGACTCAAGTATGTTGGGGGTGGCCCATCAGCCCTCAGTCTTGCAACCCTTTTATCATGCTAGTAATCAGTGTAACTATTTGCATAAATAAAAACTATTTGCTTGAGTAATGATTTGCACAATCAAACCCAGAGGCTGGGGTGAAGTGATTTTATACAAGACCACTCTGGAAAGTGCTACTACTATTACTAGACTGATCCAAATGCTTTTAGAATTCCTGGTACCAGCAAATAATTTAATCTTTCTTTTTTCACATTTGACAGTGAAAACTGAACATCCCAGAACTATAAATATTTCAGTCGTTGTTTTTATACACATGTTAAATATATATATTTTTTCCATTTTAAAAAATGCTTCGCTTTAGGAGGAATGTGGTTTGTTTAAACACTGCCTGGAGAGTGCAGATACATCTTTTGATTTAATTTACTTTAAGATAATTTATTGTTACTGATGATCATGTTTAGAAGCAGTTTCATTTGCAGTTTTTGCCGGTAAAGAATGTCAAATGAAAGTAGACTAGAATCCCAAGTGATCTATGGAGCTCATTAAAACAGATCTTTATACTTATTACTACTGAGTGTGTGTATTTCCTGTGTTCTTTCTGAGTAACAAATTTAAATTGCTCAAGTTATTTAATGATGATAGATACATTCCTCTCATTAGCTGGCTGACAGAATTTAAGACTAGAATTTAGCTAGGCTAGTTCTTATGGATTGTATTTTTTAAAGCATTGAATATGTTGTTTATTTATAGTCCAGTAGCACCTGTTGCTTCCCAAGTGGTGGCCCCATTTTGTGCTGTACAAAAAATAATAAAAGACAATCCTGGGCCCGAAGAGCATCTAGTTTCTACAGACTAATAGTGGGAGGGGAAACAGACATCTGAAAAATCAGATCCTAACATTTTACTTTTTTTTTTCCCCCCAGGAATTTTTAAAGAAAGAATTTAGTGAAGAAAATGTTTTGTTCTGGTTAGCATGTGAAGAATTTAAGAAAATGCAAGACAAGAAACAGGTATTTCCTTCAAAATTAAACTTTACCTATCAACAAAGATTCCATGGTAGCATTAGGGGATATAACCTGTCTCCTACTTACGTAGTTATTCAGCTGCATTTCATGTACGTGCAAACAAATATATTGAAGGAATGTATCAGAAATCATCAAAACTAGAGATAGTTGTAGTAAACAAATTTTATTCTGCATCAGAATGAAAAGCCAAAATTGCTATTTCCTGTGAAACCAAAATTCCAAAAAAATTCAGTTTGGAAACACTGAAATGTTTTGTTTTGATAATGTCTAATCATTGTTCTTTGATAAAGCTAAACATGTTTTGTTTCAATAATGGTGTAACTTTACAATATATACTGTATTATAATATATTTAATATTTTATATGTAATACATGTAATTAATTATTTTACCATATACAAATTTAAATAAAATGAATCAAAACAAGAAAGTTGAAACATTTTTACTGTATCAAAATGAAATGTTTTGACATTATGGAACTAAAACAGTGGAAATCATTTATTTAGACTTTTCCCCCTCAAAAATTTCTTCAAAATCAGCATATTCCTGTGATTTGTTTAGATTTTGACTGAATTGCATTTTTGACAGAAAACTGTTCTGTTGAATATTTTTTGGTCAGCTGTAATCATGACCTCTTTCTGCTGCATGGGTGCCAGTCCTGCAATTGGATTCACATGAGCACAGGGGTCTAATTGCATTTTCTGATTGCGGGATCAGAATCATGTTATGTGGAATCAGGCCTGAAATGTGTACTGGGTTTCTGTTTGTTTGCTCCTGTAAATATTGGAGAATGTTTCGACAATTAAAACATGTAATTTGATTAATGTTTTAGGCTGAGACGTCCAAAGGAAGTTAGATGCCAAAATCCTATTGAATGTCAGTGGGAGCTGGGTGACTAATTCCCCTAGGCCTCTTTGAGAATCCCAGCTTTAGACTTTCTATGTGGACATCAAGGGCTAAATTATGGCCTTTGTTGCTGGACGAGCACTTTGCAGCTGGATAGTCCAAGTGATGGTACTCTGCAGGGAGATAGCGCTAGGGAGTTTGCTGAGAAGAACTCTTTACACCTGCTCTAGAAAGGTGCATTGTACACTCCCCAGTGTGCTGGGAACCATCAGAAATAGGAGGGAATGGGGACACAGGTCTCATCCCCATGGTACCCTTGGTACCATGAAATTGTTAGCCTTCAGAGGGAGTCTTGCAGGTGTAAGTCAAGGTTGGATCTAGATTATGATGTTTGCTCCCACAAGACACAGGAATGACTGTGTAGATCAAGTCTGGTTGAAAATTTTCCCTTGGAACTGTTTTTTAGTGGAAAATTGGGTTTTCAGCAAAATTAATTTTTTTGTGAAAAGTGTTTCTGTTTGCCAGAAGCTGGGAATGGGTGATAGGGGATGGATCACTTGATGATTACCTGTTTTGTTCATTCCCTCTGGGGCACCTGGCACTGGCCACTGTTGGAATACAGGGTACTAGATGGACCTGTTCTTATGTCTGCTTTCCACAGGAAATTTTGATTTGTCATAAAAAGAAAAAATGAACAATTGAAAACCGAAACATTTTTCAGTATTCAAATTTCTTCCAAAAAAATTTCTGCAGCAAAGGAAACACATTTTTCAACCAACTCAACAACAGACCTAGAACTACACAGAAGTAATGTCTTGGGCTTGGTTTTCCCTCAGTAAGGTCTATGCATACACATATAGATGGACATACTCAAAACAGAAACAACTAATCAGGCTGTTTTTCCTACAGTCTGGAAAGGAGAGAGATTGGGACGAGGAGGGAATGATTGTTGTTTCTATTTTAAATATTTCTGTTCTGTATTTGGGGAAAAACAGATGATATCGTCTCATCATATGGTGATGATAACACTCTTTCCATTCTGCTAGTATCTCTGGAGGATGTGAAACAAGCTACTAAAGTTTGACATTTTAAAATCAGAAGGTCCCAAAAACTTGCATCCAAGAGCTTTCTGGATCATTAATGTTGATCTTCAATAAGTCTTGGAGCACTGGGGAAGTTCCAGAAGACTGGGAAAAAACTAATGTTGTGCTAATTTTTAAAAAGAGTCAGTGGGATGACCGTGGTAATTATATGCCTGTTAGCCTGGCCAAGATAATGGAGTGGTTGATATGGGACTGGATTAATAAAGAATTAAAGGAGGGCAATGTAATTAATGCAAATCAACATGGGTTTATGGAAAATAGATCCTATCAAACTAACTTGATATCTTTCTTTGATGAGATTATAAGTTTGTTAAAGTAATAGTGTTGATGTTATATTTAGACTTCTGCAAAGAATTTGACCTAGTACTGCACAACATTTTGATTAAAAAACTAGACTAATATAAAATTAACACGGTACATGTTAAATGGATTAAAAAGTGACTGATAGGACTCAAAATTTAACTGTAAAAAGAGACTTTTCATCAGGTAGGTGTGTTTCCAGTGGGGTCCACGGGTATTAGTTTTTGGCCCTACGCTATTTAACATTTTTATCAATGACCTGGAAGAAAACATAAAATAATCACTGATAAAGTTTGCAGATGATACAAAAATAGGGGGAGAGGCAAATAATGAAGAGGACAGGTCACTGATTCAGCGTGATCTGGATCACTTAGCAAACTGGTTGCAACCAAACAATATGCAGTTTAATATGGCTAAATGTATTCATCTAGGAACAAAGAATGTAGGTCAGACTTACAGGATGGGGGACGCTATCCTGGGAAGCAGTGATGCTGAGAAAGATTTGGAGGTGGTGGTGGATAATGAGCTGAACATGAGCTCTCAATGTGACACCATGATGAAAAGAGCTAATGCTGACCCAGGAAGGATGCATAAACAGGAGAATCTCAAGAAGGAGTAGACAGGTTATTTTACCTCTTCGTCTGGCACTGGTACAACTGCTGCTGTTTTACCATGTCCAGTTAGTTCTAGGGTCCACAATTCAAGAAGGAAGTTGATAAATTGGAGAGGGTTCAGAGAAGAGCAATCGGAATGATTAAAGGATAAGAAAACATACCTAGCCATAGACTCAAAGAGCTCCATCTATTTAGCTTAACAAAGAGAAGGTTAAGGAGTGATTTGATTACAGTTTATAAGTACTTACATGGGGAACAAATATTGAATAACGGACTCTTCAGTCTTTCGGAAAGATATAACACTGTACGTTGAAACTAGACAAATTCAGACTGGAAATAAGGTGTACATTTTTGATAGTGAGAATAATTAACCATTGGAACAATTTAGCAGGGGTCGTGGTGGAGTCTCCATTACTGACAATTTTGAAATAACGATTGGTTGTGTTTCTAACAGATCTGCTCTAGGAATTATTTTGGGGAAGTTCTCTGTGTTATACAGGAGACCAGACTAGATGATCACAATGGTTCCCTCAGGGCTTGAAAGCTATGAATATGTGGGAGCCACTCAGATACTACCATGATGGCAGCTGTTTTAAGTTAGATAGACTGGCACTGGGTACATTCATTAGCTCTCACTTCAAGCCCTCCTAACACAAGTGGCAGCATTCTGCCTGGCTGTTGTCCACATGGTTGAGAAGCTGTCTCTGCACTGTCTTCACCTCAACATGCTAATTGCAAGACAAGACTCACGGGGCCTAATTTAGCCTTGGCACAAAAGCCATTACACATAGCACTTGTTTGGTCCTTGTTATTACAAATCAGTGCTGAAAGTAACCCACTGTGCACAGTATCACCTTGGTATGGTATGTGCAGTGTGTAACACCTGGTGTCTAGATATGCCTGTTCCCTTCCCTCTTCTGCCAAGAGAACTTACTTTCTTCACTGGTGGATGTGGATCTGGCATTGCAGCTGGTTCGCAAATAGGGAGTATATTTTTCTTCACACAGGCTAGCTGTTTTCTGTCTGTATGATGCACAGTGGCCCAGGCCCTGCTCAGGAGTTAGGTAGCCTCCACTGTTGCTTAAACAGGTACCAAATTGTATTCTAAGATGGATACTGCATGAAAAGTCCTTCTGTAGGATTTTGCAGTGGGATGATGACACTTTTTTCCTTTATAAAATAATCTGCATAGTTTTTTCATTGTTTCTATTTTAGGATTGTGCACACAGACACAGGAAATGGTAAACAGACATACAGAGATAATAGTGCAATGAATCCTCAGATGAATTGCCATATTGAATGGACAATGATTAACTAGTTCCCATTTACCTTCAATTATTCAGTACCAGTCTTTATGCAATATATGCAGTCAGCAGTCTAACACTAACAAAGCTTCTGGAGGCTAGAAGAATTATAATACATTATGGATTTGCAGTAGGGTTTAAAAGTTATTGCAGATCAATCAATCTATCTATCTATCTATCTCCTTTACAGAATTAAACAGAAACTTTAAAGATAGAAATCATTCTGTACAGTATTTATTATAGCATGAAACACTAATTTGTCTCCTGAAAGTGATTTCTGCAGCAATCACTGTAATACTACATCAATGAGGGAGTTAATTTGTATATTATGCTAATGTGATGCTTCCCAGAGATACCCAGGGTTGTGAGGCACCTTGCAACAATGTGCCCTTAGTGTGAGGAGGCCTTGTCTGTGTCTGCTGGGGCCCTCACTGTCACTCTGCAGGTTAACAATAGGCCCACTCCAACCCTGAGCCCTCCGAGTGCCTCCCTGGAGTGTCAAGGCCTTGGTCCAGTAGACAATCACAGTATTCACAGATTTGCTGCTTCCAAGAAGCAGTACACCCAGTTTACCAGTTCCCCTCAGATCACCACTCCGCTTAACACACAGCACTTAGGGTATGTGTACACATACAGTGCTGTAGGGCCACAGCTGTGCCGCTACAGCGTGTCTGGTGAAGACGCTCTAAGCTGATGGGAGAGAGGGCAGAAGCTATGTTGGTGGGAGAAGCGCTCTCGCCGACATAGCACTGTGCATACAAGTGCTTATGTCGGTGTAACATATGTCATTCAGGGGTTGTTTATTCACACCCCTTTGTGACATAAGTTATGCCGACATAGGCTGTAGGCTAGCCGTAGGCTGTGGTGTGTTTACAGTGAAAACAAACATAGGGTTATTTAACAAGGCACACAGATTCAAGTAACAGTAAGTAGAACTATTGGAAATAAATTGTTCCATATGAAATAAAATCATAACATGCATTCTAGAGCTTAGGTTTAATTAACAAGATACTCTCATGTCTAATAAAATATTGCAGATCAGTGCTTTAGTGTCGGGCTGTGACCCTCTTTTCACGAGACAGCCACACCATCAGCTTGCTTCTTCAGTGGAGGATAAAATCTTGTCCCTCCTGCTGTGTTTTTTTTTTTTTTTTTTTTAAACACACTTGCAGACTATTGTCTCTTACCCAAGGAGGCCTTACTAGCAACAGCTACTGGAGACATTATGCCTGCAGAGACCAGGAGCTGGCATGGTACCTCCAGGCGTACTGTGGAAAGTATGCTCACGAGCAACAGTTACTACCATCTATGACACATACTATGTATGCTCCTGCATCGTCACCTTGCCTACTCTTATCAGTGTGTCTAGTGGGCAAGGACAGTGTGTCTAGCTGGCAACTCTGGAGCCTCCTATCCTCTACCTGAAGGATGCCAGCTGCTAAATTAGTGCACAACAGTGTCTTTTGCCTTCCTCTTCTAGTGCCCCGCCACACACACTGGAGCAGCCATAATTTGGCCCTGTATAATTTGCAGTGTTTTCTCTCACAACAAATGCTATTCACAGGCAAAAACGTTTAGGACAGAATTAGAGTTGCAAATAAGTGCCACTTGCTTACAACGTTAAAGTTCGACGAGAACACAACAAGCTGGTGGCAGAACCAGGAACAGGACTCCTGGCATTCAGCCTAGGGCTTTAACTGCTAGCCTGCTCTGCTCCTTCATATGGATTAAAATGCCTGACGTGGCAGGATGGTACCTTGCATTCTCTACCCCTGGGGCAGTAGTTTTCATTATAAATTCAGAAGTCCGGTTCACACTCTTATAGGGCCGGATCCAAAGCCCATTAGTGAGAAGGGGAAAGGCTCCCATGGGCTTCGGATCAGTCCCACATCTGTTCAAAAAATTCAAAGAATGAGACTTTCCTGCTCTTTCCTTCCTTAGCCGCCGAAGTCTTTTGTCCCTATTTTTCTACGTCTGTGTATTCAAAATTTATTAAAGTCATCTCCCACCACATTTTACATATTTGTCTTCTCCGATGGCTTCTCTACACACACCTGCACTGATTTAACTTATGATGTCATTTTTAAACCAGTTTAAACAGGCACAGAAGGCTGTGTGGACACTCTTATTTTGGTTTAAACCAGGGAAAATTTAGCAAAATGCTACAGTGAAGATTCTCCTGTTGCATATGGTAGCAGAAATATATATAGCACCTTTCATTTCAATATAGCACCTTTCATTTCAAAGGGTCTCAAAGCACCTTGCAACCTTCGTATGTTCAGGAATCTCTGCTGCCACTTCTAGGCTGGAACGTGCCAATGGTTAAACAGAGCTCAGCAATGCTAAATAACAGTTTAAATACCAGAGTCTAGCTTCTGATGAACATCTGGGGTTCCCCAGTTATTTCTTCTGGGAATCGTTCATGTGTCTGAGAGCAGAACTTGACTCTGGGAAAGGAAGTAAAGAGGAATATTATATCCATTTGAAACAGCAAGGGGGATTTCTGTAGACAGAACCTTATTGTCCAAATTGGAATTTGGCCAGGACAGTGGGGCGAGCACATGTATACTAATGAAAAGTTCCAAGGGATCTTTAATGACCACACATGAGTAAGATCTCAGTTTTAAATCTTATTTATAAGAAAACACAGTCCTTTTTTATCACCCAGCTGACACAGAAGGAAGGAAGAGTGCCATCTACTGAATCACTGACATCGCTTCCTTTCTTCCTGCTCAGCAGTGGGTTTTCCTGGAAGGTCTCTGAGGGCATGTCTGCAGCTGGGTGCTGTGATTCTCAGCCCGGATAGACAGACTCACAGTAGCTTCACTTGAGCTGGCATGCTAAAAATAGCAGTGTAGGTGTTGCAGTTGGGCTAGCCACCTAAGCTGGGATCCAGGGAGTCAGGTGACCTTGGACTTGGGTGGCTAGCCTGGATTGCTGCCTGTGCTACAACATCCACACTGCCATTTTAGTGCACTAGCTCAAGTGAAGGTAGCATGAATCTGTCTACTCGCGCTGGGAATCACACCTCCCAGCTGCAGTGTAGGTATACCCTGAAGCAGGGGGTCGTCAATAGGCGGACCATGGGTCAAATCCGGATCACCAGACACTTTTCAATGGACTCTGCAATCTTTTTATTTACTTATTATCACCATTATTGTTATTTCTTATTATTATTTTCTCCGGAGTCTGAACCTTGACTATACCTTGACTAAGAAATTTGGACTTTGATAAAAAATAATTGACTACCCCTGCCTTGAAGGCTCCTCTACATTAGAAAATGTTGCTGCTTTAACTATACCGATATAATTAAAGTTACCTACCCTCCCTGCCCCAGTGTGGATGAAGTTTTACTGATATAAAAGTGCTTATATTGGTATAGCTTATTCTGGTTGAGGAAGTGAAATAAGTTATCCTCGTAAAAGGCACCTTTATACCAGTATAACTGCATTTCGAGTAGTGTTTATATCAATATAATTGTATTGGTTAAAAAAACACATCTAATGGACATAGTTATATCAATAAAAGCAACAAGGAGTCCAGTGGCACCTTAAAAACTAACAGATTTATTTGGGCATAAGCTTTTGTGGGTAAAAAACCCACTTCTTCAGATGCATGGAGAGCAGGCCTGAGTGACCCTACCCTCTTTAGTGTGAAATTGACAAAGATCACAGCCCTAGGCAGTATGGCGCCCAAAAATACTCCTTCAGTATGAGCTACTGTATCTGTTATATCCTGATGTTTCCTGCTCCTGAATGAATATTCTCTTTTAAAAAGAAATGCTGCCGCACAACATGTGCGTGCTATCAGCTGTGAGAGGGTTAATTCTTTAGACCTTAGGAATACACTAAGATAGTCAGACGTGTATAGGTGTTTGTTTGTTTGTAATTATCCCCACATGTCTATTCTGAACTGTAAAACATAAAAGTATTCCTGTGATTTGTTCCTGGCCAACGGTTTAAGTGCTTTCCTCTTCAGTCTCACTTCCCATCACAGATGCAGTCTTCTGGCTTGTGCTGCTCTATGAATACTGTTCCTCATTAAATATACAATACAGAATATTTATGGTTACCCATTGCTAATTATCTTCTAGTGTCTGCTGGTATGCAGCTCCAAGCATGAAAAATTTAGAACACCAGTTTGAGATTTACATCTCAGATGGCTTTAAAATAAATATAGTCTCCCACTGTGCTCATTCTTTTATCTGCTTCCATGAACTTCCTAAGCAAGGAGAGTTTTGTAATTGATTTCAGTGGGAGCAGGATTGGGGTCCTTAATAAAGTGCTTTGAAGTTGAAGAGTGCTGTATGAGTCTAAGCATTATCATTATTATTCCTACTTTATGAAGAGAAGGCCACTGAAACAGAACATATGTTGCTGTCAGAGCAAACAGTGAAAAATAAATTACCTCAAATAAGCCACACCTAACCTCTTCAGCTACAGTGATAAGCCCTGTCTGTGCAGTTACATAATTGCATGATCAGGGCCTGATAATTACAAGGTACTGACTTCTTGAATGAAGTGCTGAGCTCTGTCCGCTCCCATTAAAGTCAGTGAACACTCAGCATGTTTCAGGATTGGGCCTTTCTTTGAGTATCTCTTTCCTAAATGATGAATAAAATGATGTATATGTCACTATTAGATATAGTGTGGCCACAAGTATATGATTGCTGTCTGGTTTCTCTCTTTGCCTGGTTGTTTCTACAATACAAAAGAGGAAAGCGAATTTACTGCATGATGTAGCATTCTGGGGCCTGATTCTCCTCTCCTGCCTGTTTTATTCCTGATTCACACCTGTGTAAGTGAGAGGAGAATCAAGTCCTTTGTATTTAATCATAAACATTTCAGAACAGAAGTCAGGAGCTGGGATAGTCAAAGGAACATAAGGGAGTTAGGTCCCCAAATATGATCTGGGTAACTAACTCCCTTGTGATCCTTTGGAAATCCCAGCCAGAATGTACATGAAAAAACTGACTTACTGCACACTTTCTTTCTTTTGACTAAATATCTTATTTCTAAGATGTTGCCCCTGATAGAGGCATCTCCCATGCTGTTAGCATGACTTGAAGGAGGACTCTGGCAAAGTTACATGTTCCCATTGTAAATATTTGACCTTTCACAGATGCAAGAAAAAGCTAAAGAAATTTACATGACTTTCCTGTCCAGTAAAGCTTCCTGCCAAGTCAATGTTGAAGGGCAATCCCGTTTGAATGAGACAATATTGGAAGAACCTCACCCACTAATGTTTCAAAAGCTGCAGGATCAGGTAAAGTTATTACATTTACCCTGCTCACTTGAGGACATATTTTATGGTTGGTGCGGAAGGATGCAATGAAGGTGGCAGGGATAGGGAGGTGGCAGGACCATAGGGCCTGGGCTGTTGCTGTATATAGTGTCGGTTCTGCATGCACATTGCCAGCTAACTGGTAAAATGAGCTCCCATGTATGTATGAAAGCAAATGATCTTACAAGATACACAGTGATGCACGCTCACAGGACTCAGGGCAGAATGAAGGGTTGGATGCCGTGTGCTGTACTCTGTGGTGGCTTGCTGAGTTGGGCGCTTCAAAGGACAGAATTGAATCTGAGGGAAGGTGAATTAGGCAAAAGGGGGCAGAGGAATCCTGCTCTGGCAGCCTATCCTGGCAATGTGATGGAGAGGACACTGCCCACATACTGGCTAGCACAGAAGAGCCCGGGCTCCAGTTCAGTCTATTCTGGCCTAGTTAGCTTTTAAAAAATGACAGTGAAAAGCTGCTAAGAATAAAACAGCATGGTAAATTCTTTGTTCTTCTCAACTGCACTCGGTACCCTAAAGGGAACATTATACATTGTGCACTCTCTACAGAGTGCCTGCTGCTGCAGCCCTCGCTCAGGGAAAACTCATAAGCCATCTGTGATAGCATAAGGTTCCTTAATAAAGTTGGGAGCTGGTGACTGCATGCCACTCTGCATTTGTTATGGATCAGATCCTCAGTCCAACTCCTGGGCTGGGCACTTAGCAGATGCATGGAAGGTGGAAGTGGAGGAGTCCCATCCCCATCAGGCATGGAGAGGTGCCGCAGCCCTTCCGTGGAGGTTACTTCTGCTGAAATAATTATCATGCAGGAGTGAGTATCTGAGGATGTGTGAAGTGTCACATCCTTTCTCCCCACCTCTGCCACAGACCCCTAATGTGCTGCCCCCACCTTTGCACCTGTTCCACTGAAGGGGCTTTCAGTGGAAGCTTGGTAGGATTTGCCTCTGTGTTTTTTGTCAGCAGCTGGAGAACCCATCAGCTGACTGATTTCATGCCCACGTTTTGCTGTGCACTCACTTGGACTGAGACACCAGTGATGCTGATTTCAGTAACAGTGAATTCTGTTACTGGCTGCCTTGTGGTCGCTGGAGTCTGCTTCAGGACTTTTCTCCTTGGTTGATTTCAGCTGCTCATTGACTCAAAATGAGACAGATGTCCTGGAATACCCCTTCTCATCTCCTTGTGCTTTAGAGAGGGGTGCTGAGCTGGGAAGTGAGCCTCTATATCCCAATCCAAAAATCTCTATAGCTCGAGGAAGGGTTTGGATCTGCTAGTGCAGATCTGAACTTCCTCAGAGCTTGAGAGGGCTCGTTCCTAGGATTCCAATCCCAGCCCATCTGGCAATGCAAAACTTTGGGCAGAATTTTGTAGATGTCCACTTTGGAGACAGGTTCTCTTCATTTTTTTAACCTACTTTGCCATAGACTGTGGAGTCACTGACTTTCATCGGCAGCTTCCAAAGAGTATGGCCATTGCCACTTCCAGTTGCACCCTCCTCAGGACTTTTGAGTATTTGTATTTTCCCCTTGGCTCATGTCTTTTACAGCAAAGCAGTTCTTTCATTTAAACAGCATATTTAACAGAGTTGACATCACATGCTGAATGCATCTGTCAGGTATTGAAGTGGGCTGATGAGCAAAGGTTCAGCTCCCCTTGAAGTGGATTCCAAATGATTAACAGTGGAAATGTCTAAAGCCCAATTTCAATGTGACAAAGCAAAATCTTTCATGGAAGAATTTGTTTGACTTGGGGGAGATGGGAAAGAAAGTGTCCTTGTAAATCCTGATGTTACTATACATAGTAGGTGATTACATGACTGTAACAATGAAATTGGAGAGAGTACAAAAGACTTTAACTGTTCTCCATTTCAGCAGAGGGATCTATGCATAGATGGGAACAGCCAAAGAAGCATGAATTAGAGACATATACTAAACCAGGTTCGAGAGGAGTCCCGTTAATGTGCTACTCAAGAATGTCTGTAAATGTTTTAAAACTAAACAGAGGACATCTGGGGATTGCTGCAGATTTCCACTGTATGGAATGCAGCTTTTGTCTGATCCTGCTACATAGTACTCCAGCAGCAATTATGCTCTTCTCTGGCTTGAATCCTTATTAAGTTACAAGGAATGGTATAATTTGCTCCCACGAGGACAATCTGAGATCTGACTGTGTTTATAAAGTATACAAGGGCATAGCTTGAAGGCCAGACTCTGACCTTATTCATGGCGAGTAGCAATTTACTTCTTGAGTAGATCGATTGATTTCACTGGGACTTCTTGTGGGGGTAAGGTTCTATTAAATATTAGTAAGAGTATCAGTATTTGGCCCTGTGTATGTAGTTATTTGGATACAGCTTCAGGACAAAGGCTGCTATTCAGTATGGGGAAGTGGGACTACAGTGGTTCATAGAACCCTTGTGAATTTCAAACTCTTTGCCCAGGTACATGCACCTGTACTGTGCAGAGATGCCAACGAATCTCATCCATTCAGTTTAACGAGAGAGAAAACTCCCTTTCTGCATGAGTATAAAAAAACTCAGCAATCTGTGTAGTTGTCACACTCCAGGACTGTTACCAACTTGGTTTTGATCTTTATAGTGTTTGCCCACCATGAGAGGTGCCCTGTTGTCACCATGAAAAGGAGGGTCTGTTAATGTAAGTCCCAAACTCTGGCTCATGAACCTCTGATGGGCTATGTCTTCACAGGAAAAAAAAAGGTGTATTTTACATTGAGATCGCTCTCTCGATGTAGAATGCTAGTGGACACACGGCACGGGTAATTTTTATCTTGATGTAGCTAGTCAAGGTCAACTGCAGGTGGGAGGTATAGGGTTAACCTCAACTAGCCACATCAAAGTAAAGAGTACCTGCGCCTTGTCACTGCTAGCATTCTACCTTGAGGTAGCTAACTTGAGTTAAAATTCATTTAAATCCATTTAGCATTTAAATTAAAGCAGAGAGGTTTCATATGGTTTACATATAAAAATGAACAACAGTGAGTATGAAAGCCCCTGTGTCATTTATTTTGCAAGCAGGATATTACAGCTCATACACGCACATGTTTTATGTGATTGAGGGTTTTTAGTAGCTAAGATTACTGCAGAGGTGAAAAGAACAAGCTTTTTCTCTACAAGGCAGTAAGCTACAGTTGCACTAACAGTTTGAAACATTTTAGAAATGAGACCCATAAAGCTACAGTTGCAATTATCCACACATGGAATTTGTAACCCTACTTATTGGAGCAGCTGAGAATCCAAAAATTCCTCTTGGAAGCTTAGCTTAGTGACTTTGGGCACCGTATAATGTAATCAGTCACGAAGCGTGACTCAGAGAGGCTACTCTGGTGCATTCATTGCCAGAGGGTGATGTATGCTTTTGTTTTGTTTCAATTATGGTTTGCAGTTATGGTTTGCAGTATTTTTTTTCTCCCCTAGCTTTTCTAGCCCAAGCAAAATAGTCACGACCTAGACAATTGAGAACACTAGAGACTTTTTGGTGATGGTAGTAAAAATCCAAGTAAGTTGTAGGAGTTTGCTTAGAAATAGATGGAAGTAGGAAGGGAGAAAACAACTGCGTTGGAGGATGAAGCTGAGTTCAAGAATGGCAGGGAACTAGAAGTCCTGGAAGAGAAAAGACAATGTAACTAGCTCCCAAAAATACCTTAAAAAAGGAAATGGAGATAAAATATTTATTTTGAAACAAAAAGCATGAAGAATTTTCAGGTGAAATATTTATTATTATGTAGTGCCTTGTGCCCCTGTACACACCGTGGGTCAAATCTTGGTCTCCCTGAAGTCAATGACAAAATTCCATTGTCTTGAATGGAACCAGGGTATCACCCCTCGTGTGAGTAACAAGTGTTGGCTAAGCCAGTTGTAAGTGTGAACTAAGCTACAGGAGTGTTGGACAAGCCAGCTATTTCAATCAGTGACACATTTGCACCTGCAACTGTTTGTCTACTTAAATTATTTAGAGGCTCTTTTGTTAATATCTCAGTGCTGTGTGTGTGCACTCAGGCTCTACTGTGATATTCAAGTGTGGTTATGATCAGAAAGGTGAATGTATCCAGCTCTGCCCCCTCTGTGCATTCTGAGTCACATCTTTTTACTGCACCGACCAAATGCCATCTTCATTACGTTTTTTCTCCTGGTCACCCTGCAGAGTCGACCTTGCTATGGGTGGGAGCTGGGTTATGTCCTCACTTGTACATCATATACAATTAGTAACTAAGTGCCAGCTGCAGACTCTTTACTACCGATGGTGATGTGAGAGTCCATCTTTCAAACGTCAGGTTGCATTTGCCGTGTTCTCAGGCAGGAAAACCATCATTTGGCCCATAAGCTGATCAAATTTGATATGGACATTAATGAACATGGAACCCCATAATACTCTTTGTTATACACAATCACTTTTAGAGTATATAAGATTTATTTTAATGACATGCTTTCTGGCCAATACATTTTAGTGTATGCATTTGCTGACAACAAAATTTTAGAAATTTCCTATTATCTTTCTGGTTTAGTATCTATTTTATTTGAGTCATTGTTTTTGTTTTGTTTCCCTCCCCCAGATATTCAATCTCATGAAGTACGACAGCTACAGCCGCTTCTTAAAGTCAGACATATTTTTAAAACATAAGAGGGCCGAGGAACAAGAAGAGAATTCATCGGAAGCTCAATCCGTAGCTAAAAGAGCTTCAAGGATTTACAACACATGATCCAAAGAAACCCATTCAGACAAGCAACAAAAAATAACCTAACTCTCAGGAACAGTCTTTGGGTCTATAACTGTTGCATTTAAGGCTTGAAAAGCACAAAACCCTTTTAGGGGATATTTACCTTCTTAATTGCTTGAACAACTAATTGTTTTTGCATGATGGCTAATACCAAACACTCTTGAAAAGACCATTTCCTAGGCTAAAATGCTGAGGTATCCGTATGTAGCATGAATTACATCCCATATTTCACAAATTAAAATGTTTTCCAATCACTGTATTTTGTGAGGCATCACGAACATGAGAAATGGAAAATAGGGTTGCTTTTGCCTTCTGATTTTATAGCTATCCTGTATGTACGTTTGTGAATTGTTGTGAGCCAATGGAGAGTAGCATTTCCGATAGCTCTGTGGATGAGTCATACAATGATTATCATTAGGGGGCAGTATCATGTAGGGTTACTCCTAATAAAACCCAGTTTCAGTCCTTCCAAACGTAAATCTCTTCTTTGAAACTAATCTGTCTGTGAGACTTTGAAAGGCAATTTCAATTTTGACTTTGGGAAGTGTGGGTTTGCCTTTATTATTGAAGCAGAAGGCTTGTTTTTTTTAGTCAGGATTTTCATGACCGTATTTCTTTGATTTCACAATGTTTCCCACAACAGCCAATCAGCTTCTTCAGATGACAGAGGCTAATCGCCAGCTTTGACAGAAACAACATGTCAACTTTAGAAACACAATAAAACCTCTTGTGTTTTCATAGCACCTAAACTATAATGGAACAAAAGCATCAAAATAGGAAGGATCCCTTCAAAGCACTCAAAAAGCTAGAGGAGAACTGATACCTGTTGCCCACTTCTGGGCATCACATCTTCAGGTGGGCTCAGCACTTCAGCCGCTAGCACACTTATTCTGAAGTCACATGCAAGTACTAGTAAGCATTAGGTCTTCCCCAGTCTTCCTGAGGAATTGTGCCTTGGCTGCCAGGAGTCCTTCTGCAGAGGCACAAAACAACAGTTTTCATTTTCAGTCTGGCTTTGCTGAAATCGATTGGTCACATACTACCTGATTTTGTTTTCCCCCAAGAAGTGTTTCAGGGTTTCCTATGCACAGATGTTGGGAAGTCCAACAGAACTATGAATTCGCATTGTGATTTTAGCCATTCCCACTCCATGCTTGAGATGAAGGGCAGTTTATGTCTGCCCTGAGAAGATCAATGTGCAATGATGAAATGTTAGGATAATAAAGGAAAATGCTGGTGGAAATCTCCACCAAAGAGTTCTCTTTGTCTGCCTGGAACAGTTTTGGAACTGAAAAGCATTTTGGCATAAATGTTTAATGTGTTTATATTTTTTGAATTCATTAATTCAATGCCAAACTACGGTACTAAATTGCCGTTTAGAATTGGGAGAACATATTGACTGGCATGTTTTATTTACAAGCTTTGCCATGTGTAGTCTAGCTCTGACTCACATTGACTCACTATTTACTCTTTTTGTGTGTTAGTGCAGGCTTTTCTTGAGCTTGTGTTTATGGGCTGTCTAATCAGATTGCACAAATAGCTTTTGATTATTTTAAAATTCTTTTTCTCAGGAAGGTCAGTTATATATTATATACTACTGTTGCTATCAACATCTTAAAAGCCAGGGCTAGGTTGTAATTTTCTAGGAGGAAAACTCTCTATATAGCCTTCTGACATACGACACTGTCTTTCTCTAAACCACCTTTACAGCCTATGTCTAAAGAAAATGGCTGCTTAATCTCCCACTTAATCCATTCATATAATGATAGTGGGAGTTCTGAAAACTTATCAAGGGATAAAGAGATTTGTTAGTTTTTAGGGAATTGAGCAGGAGGGCAGTCTTTCAATTTGCACTTTCTGAGCTGTAGGTCAGATGCACTGAGTACATTTTCCCATCATATCTACAAAGGAGAAAATGGCAGAACCAAAGGTTTAGGACCATGATTCATCAGTTTTCAGTGGGACGTGGGCACATGCTGAAAGTAAAGCACGTATTTAAATGCTTTGTTGAATAAGAATGTACTTAAGCACATGCTTAAATGCTTGGCTGCATTGGGGACTGGGTGAGTAGTTATAATCCCCCTCTGCAGCCAGTTGTTATCATACTAGATCTTCTAATTAAAATAATTTTTGGTTATGTAACCACTACATCCTACCCCCAAAAGAACACAGGGTGAAATCTTGGCCCACTGACCTCAGTGGAGCCAAGATGTCACCCACAATCTACTTCTAAGGTCATATATATCAGTTTATTTTTGTTTGACAGGACTTACTTAAACTTTTCAGTTTATGCAAAAATATTTTTTAAACTTCGATGGAATGAGCTGGGCTTCCCATGCTGAAATCATTGGCCAGATTCAGCATGTTCATGATTAGAAAGTGCATTTTATTCTTAATCTTTTAGAGGAAGGGTGGCATTGGATGAAATTTAGCTTTTGTCCAAATGTTTGCCTATCAAATCTTTTGAGTGATGGGCCCAAACCAAGCCCCTGGAACTCAGGAAAGATGAAATCTGCCAACATTTAGAGTTTGGACTTTGGTTTATAATTCTCGTTATTATTATTATTTACATTAGAGTAGTGCTGAAAGGTCCCAAGTTGGGGGAACCCCTCCCATCATGCTAAGTGGTACACAGTCCCTGCCCCAAGAGCTTGCAGTCTGAAAGACAAGACAGATAAGTAATAATAGACAACAAACAAGCTGCATTGGGTTAGTGCTGCATATCACTTACCATATTAATTTTGTAACATGTACAGATCCCTTCTATACAGTAAGAGGCTGATACAAATTGCATGGATCTAAAACAATGTAAATTTCCATTTGCATAAAACCTTAATTCGAACAGTGACTGCAAGCTTCACATCTCCATCCCAATTCTCTAAGTGACATAGTCTGAAATACATGGGAATCATAAGAGCTAACTCTTTCCAAAACTCCCAATGGCTACCCTCACATATGTTTCTGAACTAAAATGAGACTCATTTACAAATAAGCAAGAGCTGTGTGTTGATACTTGTTTGATGTTTTAAATACCAGTTAGGTAGGAGGATGCTGCAGTGTAAGATGTGCCCCTCTGCCCATTTTCTAGATTCAGGCCTTCGGAGCCTGTGTCCTCTCACTTTCCCATCACCAACATTTCTGGTGCCTAGATACTACTGTGATGGGGACATTTTAGATTTGCAGATAGCTAGATTGGGACTCACTTCAGAGGTAGTGAATACTTTTCATTAAATAGCAATAGGGGTCACTGATGAACCCCACGAGGCACTTCTTGCACCTCACCTTCTTTGTCTCTGTTCCTTTCCTTGATTCCACTGCATTCCTCCTGCATCCTTTTGTTTCAAACACAGTACCTGGCTACCACATTAAACTGGTGAATTGGAGGTGAGAGGCAGGGACCATTTTGTTTGTTATGTGCTTGTAAAGCAACTAGCATGATGGGACCTTGTCCATAACTGGGACGCCTCTGTGCTACAGTAATACTACTAATAATTAATACAATGTCTTGACAGCAGGTTCAGGAATTTTCATTGTTGCAGCATAGAAACTATAACGATTTTATTAAGATAAAGTCTAAGAGCCTTTAAATCAGAGGTGGGCAAACTACGACCTGTGGGCCACATCCGGCCCATGGGACCGTCCTGATGGGCCCCAAGCTTCTGGCCCGGGAGGCTAGCCCTTGGCTCCTCCCCTGCTGTCCCTCCTCCCCCACAGCCTCAGCTCGCTCGCTCTGTCGTCGGCGCAATACTCTGGACGGCGGGGCTGTGAGCTCCTGGGGCAGCGCAGCTGCAGAGCCCGGCCTGACCCCGTGCTCTGAGCTGCGGCGTGGCGGCAGCGGCGTGGCTGGCTCCAGCCGGGCGGTACGGCTGTAGCGCTGCCAGCCACTGGTGCTCCAGGCAGTGCGGTAAGGGGGCGGAGGGGTTGGATAGAGGGCAGGGAAGTTCGGGGTGGTGGTCGGGGGTGGGGGTGTGGATAGGGATCAGGGCAGTCGGGGTGGGAACAGGAGGTTGAATGGGGGCAGGGGCCCCGGTGGGGCCGTCAGGAATGAGAGGAGAGGTTGGATGGGGCGGCGGGGGTCCGGGGGCGGTCAGGGGACAGGGAGCGGGGTGTGTGGATAGGGCAGGGGTCCCGGGGATGCCGTCAGGGAACAGGGGGGGTTGGATGGGGCAGGAGTCCTGGGGTGGGGCAGATGGGGGGTAAGGGCCAGGCCACGACCCCCTCCCCTAACCAGCCCTCCATACAATTTGCGAAACCCGATGCGGCCTTCAGGCCAAAAAGTTTGCCCGCCCCTGCTTTAAATCAATAATAGATAATACTTTTGTTTTAGCTGACCTGGCAGATGAGCAGTTGCCATGTCAAAACTAGAAGTTGCAGATTAGCTCAAATCTCATGCCCTTTAGGGTATGAGGGAAGAAATAAAGAGAGGTATATTGCAGGGTTTGTTTGGCCTCTGGGAAAGGAAATCATTGCCAAATTTAACACCACCCTCTACTGGCTGCTGAAAGAATAAAATAGATAACTTTTGTGAAATATTGATAAGGTTATATAGTAAGGCAGCAAATGAAGAGAGATCATAGCTGTGTTTTGTTTGTTTCTTAAAGGTGGTGGAAATATCAATATATTTATTGCTTAGTTAGAATTCACCTTGTCCAGGTACAATAAGGCTGCTCAGTTCATTATTGAAAGGTAATGGATAATAATAATAATAAAATGTACATTGGGTTGACATTTTTCTGTACTTTGCTATTTCCAGTGTATCTCCTAATACATGAAAACTGAAATAAAAACTCTTTTTTGAAGCTGACAATGTAACGTGTATAATTTAGACCCACATAGAATACATGCCAACCCAAGTCTAAGGTTAGACTTGGGTTGGCATTTGTTTTTCCACTGTTGTTCTCTCCTTGCCTGTGTTTGTGTGTGTTTATATTTGACATTATCTATGAATGACAGTACATTTCCTAAAGTAAAGAGTGACTGGTATGCTGATTTCTGTTAACCACAAAAATTATACACATTATAAAATTAATCCATTAAATGCTATTAAATACTTATTTCTCCTAGCTGCTCTTTTTCATTGCTTTCCCTGTTCGGGATGTAAAATATTTAAGAGCAAAAATATAGCTATCTGCATGTTTGTGATCCAATCTGGTCTCCGGAGGCTTTTTTAATTGGCTGTCTAATCATGATAATCAGAATTTTGTGTTACAAAAATCTAGCTGAGAAATGTAACTCCATGTTGGTTAGAAATAGGGAAGTATTACCCAGTAATGTGTCCTGAATTGAATCCATTTCAAAGAGACTCTATTATGGAAATTTATGTGACCAATAGGGATGTACCAGGGGCACAAAACTTCTGCTCTTCTCTAATGAATATGAATGATCCTGATGCTCTATATGCTGAAGGAGTAAATGGAATGTCATAAGATCAGATATCCCTTTATTTAAAAAAAGGCACCTGTTCATTTCTGGAATAAACTTCCTGCAGCATCAGGATGGTCATTTACTCCAGCATTACTTGCAGAACTGTAGCGATCACTCTGCACGTGTGACCCAGCATTAAGACCACAGTCTAAAGATGTTTCTACAATAGCAAATGTAATCCTCACTTTTCAGTACGAGTGCGGCTGGAGTGAATTACCAGCCTATAGACTGTAGGAGTGTGCTATGCAATTCATGGAATGTAGGGACATTCTGATGAACAAGGTTTTTCACTGTTCACTTTCTATGCTTTGAACTTTTACTTTTTGCAAGGTATGGATACTGTGTTTAGACAATCAACAGACAATGGTCAGTGTTACATATACCAGCTATTTTTGGTCAGCAAAATTCGAGGAATTAGTTTTGTGTATTTCTGAAATGCTATCGAGGTATGCAAGATAATAAATGGGGTAACTGAGAAGGGAAATTGGGTGTTCCTATTTTCCCTCTCACATAATACACAAACAAGGGGACATTAAATGAAATCGAAATGCAGCATATTTAAAAGTGCAAAAGGAAATGGTTTGTACACAGCATACATTAACCTGTGGAACTCATTGCCACAAGATATCATTGAGACCAAGAGCTCAGCAGGATAAACCCTTATGCCTCAATGTATGAACAACCCATTTAGTGACCGGGTTAGGAAGAAACTTCCCCCGTGGGCAAGTCATTCCATAATGGTCCACTACAGCATTTCTTGCGCCCTTCTCTGAAACATTTCGTTACTGACCACTGTCAAGAAACATCATACTGGACTAGCTAGACCACTGGTCTGATCAAAAATGGCAAATCCTACATTCTTATCTCTAAAGTCACTTTTTACCTATGAAGGCAATCAGCAGCTGTCTCACTCTGAAAGGAAGTGCAATTCTTTGACCCCCGAAACTGAAGCAGCATGAATTGTATGGTTCTTTCTTCCTTTCTTTCTCTTCCCCATCCCCCTTCCCACTTCCTATTCTACTAGAGAGAAATCAATGAACTGTCTGTGATCTGTGCTTTCATAGAATTCCATCTCCCAAGTTAGTAATAGATTATCAGTGAAGTCTCAGCAAAGAGCTGCCTGGAAATGACAGCAGCACTGCAAAGAATTAAGTAAATTATTTCCATCTTAGTGTTGGTCTTGTTCACTACATCATGTTTAAACCTTTTAAGCATTTTCCATTCACTTGGATGAATATTTGTGTATCATTTACAAAAACACGAACAAAATCCCTCTGAACTGAAGTTTCCAACCTCGGGGAGTTTTGTTATTTTTGGAGTCAGCGTTAGGCCCTGGGCAAATGCTTAAGGGAAAGTTTATCCTTTGTAGTTGGGCCAATAATGCTTTAAACTTAAAGATGTCTTTCTCGGAGTCCAAGATTAGGCAATGAACCAAGATCTCACTAGGCCATACACACGAGTCACAGAAACTACTGAGTATGCCATAATTTGTTATTGTTTGTGTTTGTTATTTTGACTCTGCTCTGGATTGTTAAAAATCCCTTTAATGTGAAGGCGAGGAATGCGATTCTGTGAGAGGAGAGATGCTTATGACTAAATCAGTCTTTTTTCCAGCTTGGAAGGGAAGCAAATAGATGGAAAAATGGAAATTGGAAGTGGTGAGCTTTTTAAGGTCTCAACATTCTAGAACAGGGATGCCTGTGGCATACTTGCATCCCATCATGCAGAAGTGGAAAGCCAGGAAAGGGGATTCTGAGTGAATGACCACAGCTGAACCCTGCCAACAATAGAGTTTGTTTAAAGTGTTATACTGTTAAGCACTCAATTGCCTTTGCACTGCTTCATGGGGTAGGGAGGGGAAAAAATCAGCCTATATATAAAAAGTTTCAAGATCCATCACACGGTACTGAGACAGCTATTGCAGTGGGGTATGTGACTCAAAAAGTTGGTCTTGTACTTCCTGCAGATCTGAGTTCAAATGTCACGAGTGAAATAAAAATTGGTGGGATTCCACTGGTATCTGTGACTTCAATGTAAAAGCCGCTACTCAATTGGGCATTGTTGGTGGCTTTGGCTGATGATGCAGGTGATTTGGGAACTGAAGCCTCATTGCAAAGGGGAGCTTTTTCATAGACTCATAGATTCATAGATTCTAGGACTGGAAGGGACCTCGAGAGGTCATTGAGTCCAGTCCCCTGCCCACATGGCAGGACCAAATACTGTCTAGACCATCCCTGATAGACATTTACCTAACCTACTCTTAAATATCTCCAGAGATGGAGATTCCACAACCTGCCTAGGCAATTTATTCCAGTGTTTAACGACCCTGACAGTTAGGAACTTTTTCCTAATGTCCAACCTAGACCTCCCTTGCTGCAGTTTAAGCCCATTGCTTCTTGTTCTATCCTTAGAGGCTAAGGTGAACAAGTTTTCTCCCTCCTCCTTATGACACCCTTTTAGATACCTGAAAACTGCTATCATGTCCCCTCTCAGTCTTCTCTTTTCCAAACTAAACAAACCCAATTCTTTCAGCCTTCCTTCATAGGTCATGTTCTCAAGACCTTTAATCATTCTTGTTGCTCTTCTCTGGACCCTTTCCAATTTCTCCACATTTTTCTTGAAATGCGGTGCCCAGAACTGGACACAATACTCCAGCTGAGGCATAACCAGAGCAGAGTAGAGCGGAAGAATGACTTCTCGTGTCTTGCTCACAACACACCTCTTAATACATCCCAGAATCATGTTTGCTTTTTTTGCAACAGCATCACACTGTTGACTCATATTTAGCTTGTGGTCCACTATAACCCCTAGATCCCTTTCTGCCGTACTCCTTCCTAGACAGTCTCTTCCCATTCTGTATGTGTGAAACTGATTTTTTCTTCCTAAGTGGAGCACTTTGCATTTGTCTTTGTTAAACTTCATCCTGTTTAACTCAGACCATTTCTCCAATTTGTCCGGATCATTTTGAATTATGACCCTGTCCTCCAAAGCAGTTGCAATCCCTCCCAGTTTGGTATCATCCGCAAATTTAATAAGCGTACTTTCTATGCCAATATCTAAGTCGTTAATGAAGATATTGAATAGAGCCGGTCCCAAAACAGACCCCTGCGGAACCCCACTCGTTATGCCTTTCCAGCAGGATTGGGAACCATTAATAACAACTCTCTGAGTACGGTTATCCAGCCAGTTATGCACCCACCTTATAGTAGCCCCATCTAAATTGTATTTGCCTAGTTTATCGATAAGAATATCATGCGAGACCATATCAAATGCCTTACTAAAGTCTAGGTATACCACATCCACAGCTTCTCCCTTATCCACAAGACTCGTTATCCTATCAAAGAAAGCTATCAGATTGGTTTGACATGATTTGTTCTTTACAAATCCATGCTGGCTGTTCCCTATCACCTTACCACCTTCCAAGTGTTTGCAGATGATTTCCTTAATTACTTGCTCCATTATCTTC